CGAGCGGGCGCATCCGCGATCGTTCCAAATCTCGCGACAGCCGACTACCCTCTACCGCTCCCGACACTGCGAGGTCATCGGAGAGAAACTACCTCGCCACCGATGCGAGGGACGACCATCTGCGGTCGAGATCCCGCGGCCCCAGAGACAGCAACACTTCAATCGCTAGTCATCGCAGCCGTTCTCGATACGATGCCTCAGACTCAGCATCAGAACGGGATGATCGCAAGGACAAATATCTGCGCAGCGAGCGACGTCGCGATCACTACTACCAATCGGACTCGGGGGAAATCAAGACTGCAAAGCGCGATGACAGAAAGGGCTATGCGCGGTCGCCAAACCTTCGACCAGTGAGGTACGAGAGTCCCTCGGATGATTCCTACTCGGACTCGGACGATGAGGCGCTGGCCTACGGCGATGCCCCTAGCGATCTGGAGCGTGATTTCTACGGATACAGAAAGCCAGCGCGTGCGCCCTCGCCTCGTGTAGATGGTCCAGTCATGTCTGGGGCGCTCAATGGCGCTCCTTCTGCCAAGCAGGATTCGTCTCGTTCCCGTCATGCTTCAGATGAGGACATTCCCGGCCATCATCCCAGTTATGCCAGACCAGGACAGTTCCAGTATTCCATGCCGTCACAGTATGGCCAATTCCAGCCCAGCTATCCTCCGACGTCATCTGCAACGCAGTCAAATTGGGCCCCCATTCCAGAGTGCGAACGACCGGGCTTCGTGCCGCCGTCGTCGCAGGCCGAGACGCAATCCATCCCAGGCGCATTTCCGCAACCTGTGTCGACCTACCCTGAGATGACCGGTGCGCCTATTGCTCCCGGCTTTCCGATGCCTCAATATGCCAATATAGGGCAGCAGAATCCATACGCGGCTCCCAACGGTCGTCCGCTTTCAGTCTCCAATGCTTACGCTCCGGCCGTCAGCTCTCCGACTCATCAGCGCGCTTTATCAAGCGATGCAAATACGCATCCAGCTTACGCTAATCCTGCACCTTTTCAGTACGCCCATATCGATCCAAATGTGAAATATGGCTCCAAGAATGGCGCAGTGCCGTATAAGTATTCTACGACACCCCAGTTCTCCAAACCGAGTGAAGCTCCGACAGCCGAACCCCAACCTACTAGGGCCAAATACTCTGCAGTTCCACAATTTCAGAAGCCAGCCACGACCACTCGTCAGGAGAATGAACAACGCTTTATCGAGATAACGCCCGGGAATCGGACCACGGGCCGCCCCGCCAGTCATTCTGTCTCCTCTGCGAACAACCTTTCAGTCGCGGGGGCTGACCCAAATTTTCGACCTGCAAGCCCCATGCTAGAGCCTTATAAGGGCACATATCAATCCATATCTCCAATGCCGTCGCCTATTGTGATCCCATCCAAGTTCGACGACGACATCTCTGACTTTGAGCCACTTGACGGAAGCTCAGACGCGGACGGGAGGAGGAAACACTCGCGAAAGAAGTCCAAGGATGAAAGGGATCGCAAAGAGCTGAAGCCCGAACGCGCTAAACGTGACAGCAGCCGGGTTCGTCACGGCCGACATGAATCTCAAGACCAGGCAGTGGTGTTGATCTCACCAAGCAGTGTCCGGAAGAAGGTCACATTTTATGACCCCGCTCCGGACGCGATTACCATGCAGGAGGCTTTGTCGCACACCATCAATATTGATACCAAGGCTCTCATTCGTGTGCTGCCTCACCTATCCAGCGAGGAAATGCTCGACTTGCGCAAGGAATACAAGAGTCACGTGAAGCTACAGGGCAAAGGCATTAATATGGCCAAACATATCCGGCTCAAGCTGGGCAACAGTGCGTTTGGGAAAGTATGCTACGCAACCGCCCTGGGCCGCTGGGAGTCGGAAGCGTACTGGGCCAACTGCTACTACCAGTCTAGCACCTCGCGGCGGGAACTCCTCATCGAGTCTCTGATGGGTCGCAGCAACAGCGACATCCGCGAGATCAAGGAATGTTTCCGTGACTCACGGTACTTGGACAGCCTGGAAAAGTGCATGAAGGCGGAACTCAAGGCGGACAAGTTTCGAGTCGCGGTGCTGCTTGCCCTCGAGGAAACACGGCAGAGTGAGCGTGAGCCCATCGACGCGAATCTGGTCCAGCGCGACGTTCGGGACTTGTATGGGGCCCTGATGTCACGGCACGGGGGCGAGACCGCAATGATCTACATTATTGTACGACGAAGCGACGCACACTTGCGGGAGGTGCTCCGCGCCTATGAGAAGATCTACAACCAAAACTTTGCTCGAGCAATGATTGCCAAGTCGCAGAATCTTGTGGTACGTATCTCCACTTTTAGTTACCCGAGTACTTCTCATGATCTTCTAACTTGGTTAATGACAGGGTGAAACACTGGCGCATATTCTCAACGGGGCCATCAACCGACCCATGCGCGATGCTCTGCTGTTGCACCAAGCCCTCCGGGAGACTCGCTCGGGCAAGGAGCGGTCCGAACTTCTGATCTCCCGGTTGGTCCGTTTGCACTGGGAGCCGCGGCACCTGGAACAGGTTAAGAACGAGTATCGTCGGCGCTATGGGGAGCGGCTTGAGGAGGCGATTGCCGAGGAAATCCTGCCGTCGCCCGGAGGAAGCGAATGGGGCGAGTTCTGTATTGAGTTGGCGCGCAGCTCGAAGACTATTACTGGACGCGGGTGACATTTCTTTCATGCTTAACGATTTCGGGTTATGAGTTATGCGTCATGAGTTGCTTGGATTTACGACACGGGAATGGTGTTATATCCTCTTGGCGTTGGTTGATTTATGGATCAGGCAAGATAATCACATAAATCTTTTCTCCAGGGTGGATGCATGCTTGACAGGGGTACAGTAGGTACGGAGCACTTGCTGTAAACATCCTGAAAGCGAAGACTAAGTTACTGACCCCTAGCGGCTTAGTCACAACTGAACATCAACCTTAAGTTCTTAACTAGGCGGTCGCCTCCTAAAGCCAATAGGGGATTGCCGAAGCCGAATTGTCGATTTTCAAAAAGGACAAGTGCTTGAAAAAGTGAATATGTAGTATCTACAGAGTAAGTCTGCGAGTTGAATGAATATCCCTTCCACTGATTCGGTAGGTAGAGTCTCACTCTCATCCCAATAGCATAGCGAAGGCTTCCGTGATGAATGCAGGCGAGGTATCTTTGCGGGGCGTGGTCAATCAGAAGAGAAAAACCAGTACTCCGTAGTCCTGCGCAGAGATTCCGACGGTAGAACGATGTGACTATTGAACTGAATTCTCAAGCCAGGAATCTGCGTGTTTGCGTTTTGACTAGGGTGGGTTTAGTGGCTGAGCTCTGAGATACATAAGGTGGTATTCACAGATAGTCTCCTTGGAAAATGCAAGGGGTATTGGTGCGAACAGAATCAGTGGTTGTATTTACTCTGTACCTGCGTCGAATAGGGCTCCTCCACGCTGCTGTGAAACCTACTTTAGATCCAGATATTTATCTTCATTTGCTCAGCTCTGAGGGACCTCTTTCTCCGCAGTTACGTTTCTAGACCGAGTAGTCGGCACTCGGCAATTCCAGGTAAACAAAATGCGGGCAGTAGTCTTGTGAAAGTGGCAGAGGTTGGGGGCATCTGATCACTTTCCTGCGAGGGATCAATAGAAGTAGACTAAGAAAACTAGCAATGTAACGATAACTTAGGACTTGCGGTCTGGCGATCCTGCGGGACTACCCCACACTATGTCTACATATCAACTTTCTTGACGGCTGACGGTTGGCTTGTGCCTTGTCCAAGGGGTTTTAACCTTGAGCGATGAGCCTCTTTTCCATGTCGAGTGGAGGCCATGGGAACCTGCAGCAGGAGGAAATACGGTCACACCGAAACTGTATCCATCAATCTGACCTGGCCCCGTCCCTCCGATGTTCCTGGCCCCTCACATGACGGTATCACAAATCTCGGTCACATTGGCATTTTGCAAGTTCGGAGATGATAAACCCCTCTGCAAATGCCTGTAGATGGTGCAACATATGCTTCGACGACTTCGAGCCGTATGGTTGATCCGAGGGAAATGGCGGTGCTGGTGGATCTGAAGCCAGTGCATTGCGGTGTTCCATGTCACTTTCCCATTTGGGAATTGTTGTGCAATTTCCCTTCTTGTCTTGTTGTCTTCGTCCCAACATCATCCGCAGGTCTCCCCTTTTCTTCTCACTCATCTCCTCTTTTCTTGTACTTATGCTCTCGAACAAGTTAACATTAGCTCTTATATTAGCAACTCCGACCAATGTCACTCTCTTGGTTTGACCTATCTCTATCTCCATACTGTGTTGACTGACAGTGCCGGTCGTTACTCCTCCCATCCAAGTTGACAAGCATCTTCTGACTCACAGTCTGTCGTTTGGGCTCAACTAGACACATACTCGGTCCCGTCAACCTTGCTACCCTATGCTCAGGTGGATCTCCTGAACAAGCACTAAGCTTAGTGCATGCACCTTTGGCTTCATCAAATCACTATCAGCCTATAGACGGCCAATATCTCGGCAATCACACCGGCCGAGAGCAGAGAGGGGAAACAGCGAGAGAGGAATGAATGATTAATTATCTGCACATTGCATGGTAAACAGTCCGATCATCCCCCACATACTTGCCCCCCCCTGCCCTTGTTCCCCCATGTCCTTCCCTTGGCTCTATGAGTAGGAGGTTCATGTGTCTCTCCATGCCGACAATGACAGGTCAGACGACTTTCGGGATGTTTTCTATCATGCGTGTTTCCATTCCTCAGTCTCTTCTAGACCGTGGCTGGACTGACTGATCTATAGTCACTACTGAGTTTCTCCGTGTCAAGGCTCTTCCTTACGTCTGGTATGTCGATCTTGCCCAACTATAAAACCACCCCTAGAATTCCAGTAAACATTCTCAATTGGCAGTCTTTGCTTATCGTGGCAAAATCGCTGATCTATTGTTTAGCTTCCAGATCAGACTATTCATAAAATCTTCCATGTGTCCTGCTTGATTGTCCGGTAAACATTATCACCATGCAGTTGTTTCCTCTCGGCGTGTTGATCGCCTTGCTGGCTTCTCTAGCAGGAGCGGTGTCAACTTTCTCTCCTGCACGACCTCCTGCGCTGCCCTTGGCAGTAAAGTCTCCTTACTTGAGCACATGGCTTTCTGCAGGAAGTGATGGAGGTAACGGTGGCTATTTGGCCGGCGAATGGCCGACTTTTTGGGAGTAAGTGTCTGCTACTAAACATGTACGCACCTTTCTGACGAAAAACTACAGGGGCCAGATCAATGGCTGGGCTGGGCTAATCCGCGTCGATGGTGCTGTCTACACGTGGATGGGTTTGCCTGGATCGACAACTGCCAACCAGACTGCATATGAATACACCTCAACAAAGAGCATCTTCACATTTCATGTGGGAGATGCTGTGGAGATGAAAGTCACTTTTTTGTCTCCCATAACGCCGAATGATCTACGAAGGCAGTCATTGACATTCTCCTATGTTCACATCGCGGTTTCGTCAATTGACGGCGACTCTCATGATGTACAGCTCTACTCTGACATTTCTGCCGGTGAGTCTGGATCCAACCTCAGATCTGCAATTTTCTTTCTCCTAATGAAATCCTAGAATGGGTCTCTGGAGACCGCACTGCTGTTGCGGAGTGGGAGTATGGTGTCACACGCGATGGGGTTGCTTATCATAAGGTGCACCGTCAGACCCAACTCCTTTTTTCAGAAGTCAGAGATCAAGCGGAATGGGGTAACTGGTACTGGGCAACTGAGGATAGTGACAGAATGACGCACCAGTCGGGGGCTGATGTTGCTGTTCGGGGTGCATTCGCCGCTAATGGAACCTTGGGCGATTCAAAAGACTCAAACTACCGTTCCATCTCCACAAATTGGCCGGTTTTTGGCTTTGCAATTGACCTGGGATCAGTTACATCGTCCTCAGTCGATACGCACTTCACTATTGGACTTGCCCAAACTGAAGCGATCCAATACAGCAGCCCCGATGGCATTCGCGCAGAGCCCTCCTTGTGGACAAGCTATTTTGACGACGACTTGGCTGCGGTGAGCGCTTTTGCCAATCGATACATACCGTTGCTGCTAATAGTCTAACCTTTTGCTATGTTCCAGCTCGAGTTCTTCCATTACGACTATTCAACAGCAAACGAGCTCTCTTCGGCATTGGACGAGAAGATCGCGCGGGACTCCATAGCAGCGGCTGGTCAAGACTACTTGACTATTACCTCTCTCAGTGCTCGTCAAGCCTTTGCTGCAACGCAGTTGTGCGGCACGCCACAAAATCCATATCTCTTTATGAAGGAAATATCTTCCAACGGCAACATGAACACCGTGGATGTCATTTTCCCTGCTCACCCAGTATTCCTCTACACCAATCCAAAACTGCTGGAGCTTATCCTGAAGCCCCATTTTGAAATCCAAGAATCCGGGCAGTACCCTAACGCTTATGCGATGCATGACATTGGAACCCATTATCCCAACGCTACCGGCCACCCTGAAGGCAACGATGAACCAATGCCGCTTGAGGAATGTGGAAATATGATAATCATGGCTCTGGCGTACGCACTCAAGTCGTCCAACACGGATTATCTGAGCGAACACTATCCGTTGTTGGAACAATGGACGTCATATCTGATCGACGAAGCTATCTACCCGGCGAATCAGATATCGACGGACGACTTTGCTGGGCCTTTGGCGTAAGTACTGATCCCGTACTTAATCATTGACGTGCTCTAAGATTCTTCTATAGCAACCAAACCAATCTGGCCCTGAAGGGGATTATTGGTATTGAGGCCATGGCAACCATTAGCAAGCTCACCCACCACGCTGACGCAGCTACCAATCGCTCTGCTATTGCCCACGATTATATCGATAGGTGGCAAGTACTGGGTATTGCCCAGGAGGCTAATCCTCCGCATACCACCTTGTCGTATGGCTCAAATGATTCTCACGGTCAGTTCGGTATCTCTTCTTCCTTTCGGCGGTATTAGTAGCTGATCGATAACAGGTCTCCTGTACAACCTTTACGCCGACCGTGAGCTGGGCTTGAACCTGGTGCCCCAATCTGTTTACGATATGCAGAGCGAGTTCTACCCCACGGTGCAGAAAACGTACGGGGTGCCGCTGGACACCAGACACCAGTACACTAAAGGTGAATCCCTTACCTCTCGTATACCCATTTCCCCGCCTTCATTGCGTTTCTGCATGTAAGGAAATATTCAGTAATCTAACATGAGTCTTGTAGGTGATTGGGAACTGTTCACAGCAGCGGTTGCCTCGACGAGTACGAGGGACATGTTCATTGAGTTGCTTGCGAATTGGATCAACCAAACACCTACCAACCGCGCTCTTACTGACCTCTATGATACTGTTAGCGGAGAGTAAGCTTTTCTTGTTGATGTTCTGATTGCGAGCGCTGCTGACATTTCAGTTACCCCGGAATCACCTTCATTGCGCGGCCCGTGATGGGCGGTGCTTTCGCCTTATTACTTCTGAAGGAGGGTCTTTGATGAGCATTGATACCCCTAGATCGTTCCGATCGTTTTGCTTGTCAATCCGACTGAGACACAAGCTGATTATTCTTCTGTATGAATTCTTGGATATGTCTTGGATATGTCTATTATTATACCATCTTTAGACCAAGTATATGTCGCCGAAAGCTGTTGCTTGACATGCAGCACAGCCAGGTTCGATGTGCACGTATATAGCCCGTTATGCATGACCATCACAAGGTCACAAATGCTACCTGGTTCGCTGTTGGTTCCTAAACGCCGTTTGCAAATAAAGTAGATTCGGCCTTGGTGAGCGATTACTCTTGTCGTCCAATTGGCTGACCCAATTGAATATAACAGCAATCCATACAGTACGCCGAATGGCATGGCTAAAAGACGCATCGGCGAGGATTGATTCAGAGATCGTGAGAGATTTCGACCGAGTCATTCCAAGCGTCAAAAGAACGGATCAGGTCTAGAAAGGTCAGTACGGATAAGCACCTTGTCGTTAGGGAGATCGACATACTGTAATATAGAACCATTGCCTCGAGATGCACATCAATAGCTACTCGCTCGTCGACCGTATGGATGTTCAGGCTACCGCCCCTGCGAGACGGACTCCAGCGGTAGATGTTGCGCGACAGGGCCCAGTAGAATCTGGTGTCGGTGTTTCCCGTCATGATGTCGCCGCTGACAACCACCGTCTTGCCCTTCAAGCTGGGGACGGACTCGAAGGAGGTGCGCGCGACACCCGCGAACCGAGCCCAGACGGCGTCGGTGTCGATGTTGGTAGGGCTCACGGGAGCAGGGACAAGTGGCGTGCTGAGGGTCGACAAGGTGAGATGATTATTGACGGCTGGTTTATCGGCAGTGGCGGCGGTCGTTTCCGGAAAGGCGGTCCACGACAGATTGTGCTTGTCGGCGATGGGGGCGATGATGTCGATGGCGCGCTGCTTGATGAGTTCTGGGGTTTGATGGAGGGCGATGCGGTAGTTGACCAGCGCGGAGATCTTCTCGGGTAGAGCGTTTGATTTGATGCCGCCGTTGAAGATGTCGGCGGCCTGTGAGGTTTGCAGGATGTATCGGAAGGCGTCGCCGCGGGAGGATGCGAGCTTCTCGGCTAGCGCGACGTGGTCGGATGACTGAAGGCCGGAAGCGAGCCAGGGTTCGACGTGGTTGGGGGAGTAGCGAGCCTGGCATTCGAGCATGCGGCGGGAGGGGTGGTCGTCTGTCAGGACAGGGACAAAGAGGGCCTGTCGCTCGAGCTCGTAGATGATCTCGGCCATGATGCCGATGCCCGTGTGAGCAGGTGGGATGGAGCTGTGGCCGCCGGCGACGTCGAGAGAGAGCACAATGTCTATGCTGCCTTTCTCTCCTACGCCAGGGAGCGCGTAGACCACGTCATCGCCCAGAGTTTCGAGACCCATGCCGCCCTCGTCTAGGATGAAGTCGAAGCTGTCGGGGCCGTACTTTTTCTCTAGGGCAGAGGCGAGCGATCCAGCGCCGAGGAAGCCGTGGGATTCTTCGTCGAACCCAAAGGCGAGAACAATGGTGCGTGTCGGCTGCCAGTTCTGCCGGAGCAGATCTTCGATGACGGACAAGAGGCCGATCAAGACGTTCTTGCAATCGCTAGCTCCTCGGCCCCAGAGCCATTCGCCATCGAAGTGGCCGGCAAAGGGTGGGTAGGTCCAGTCGGAAGGATCATTGATCGGTACAACGTCTTGGTGAGCCATGAACAGGATCGGTTTAAGTGAGTCATCGGTGCCATTGAGGGTGTAGAGCAGCCCGAGTCTGTTGATATGATCCACGGAGGCATACGAATGACTGAACGTATTATTTTAGCAGCCCTCCCTCTATTTAACCATGAGAGAATGCCTACATTAGAGGAAATAACGATTCCAAGAGCCCTTGGAACTCTACGAAGGGAGCGAATCCCTCGTCGAAGGGGTCTGTCATGTAGTCATTGACCGTGGTGGGAACCTGAACGGCTCTTGAGAGACGGTCGACCTGCTGCAGCCGAATGGTCTCATCCTGGACATATCGAAGTGCAGAAAGCAGACCATCATCAGGCACTTCGACCTTGGGTGCCAGAGGGCAGACGTTGTTGGTGCCAGACCAGGACGAGAGGATCTGCTGCGGAGAAGGAATGCTGAGTGACATAGCCGAGGGTATTCCGAACCCTATGAGGGCCGGGACGACGCGGGCAATCGACCGCATATTCCTCCAGTTTTCCAGAACCAGGCTTGGGTGTGAATCGCAGAGTTGCATTGGAAAGGAGAGAAAGCCAGAACAGCGTTGTTCAAGACATTTATCTTATCTCTCGGGGCAAGTCCGTACTCCGCAGCGTTATCAATACGATCTCCTTCTCCGCATGCATTTCCGTCGCTTTGCATCTTCACCATTGTGAGACGTCTATTTGACAGGCTGGTTGATAGGTAATGGCGGGTCAGTCCGGTCGCCAAAGGATCGCTTTGCCCGATCGGGAAGGTCATAAGCGGTTGGTCGGTGATGATGAATCTCTAGGGGAAATGATCTGATTGAGCGATGAACAGAGATATTTAGGATGCCAACCGTCCAGGAGATTTTGGCTTACCGGCATTTTTTGAGAGTATCAGACCCAACCTCGCCTCATGAACCCTATGGTAGTATCGATTGGTAAGATTGCGAATTACTCCCAGGTCCACGTAGGCGGCAGAGATTCCCTTTGTCAATAATGCACGGCTGAAACTTAAGAGCGAGATCAGAAGCTATGCTTCGAGGACTTCAGCATGAATAGAGTAAGTCATATCCCTGCCAAAGGGTATAATGCACGTATGGAGCATGATGGCTTGCGCATCGCTGGCCTGGGAGATTTTTGCCTCCTGAGCTTATAGGCTGGGGGTTTGATTCTTCTGCATTTATCGCTACAAGGACTTTATCATCACGAGGCATTGGATCGATGAGCACAAATAGTTGAGAATGAATAAGTTGGAAGATGGATGGAAGAAAAACGAGCATAGCTGATTTCCTTTGTAGACTAGGGTCAGGTGCCGTCTCGTGACGATGCTGTTATCCCCATCTTTATTCTTTGGCATCTCGAGGCTCTGGTAATTTCGGCAAAGAACCAGTCAAGACAAAATCAAAGCAAGTGATCTAACTATGACTTGCCTCAGATCTTCCATCAGACTAGACTTCCACGAGCCTGATCAGGCTGAAAACCCCGAAGCCGTTGCAAATTGCATCCCAATCCGAAAAGAGCAAGCGACCTGGTGATTATCGACGGACAATACCGTGAGTAGACAGGTAGTTGTCTCAGAAAACAATAGTATGTTGATCCTTGACATCACCAGGGGAAATAGAAGCCACAAACTAGCGAAATTGGTGGACGCTAAAACCTCGACTGCGGCGAGCAGGCTGAGCAGCCATAAGCGAGAGTGATAAAAGAAAGTACCGCCTCTGGCAGCGCAAGGGATCGTCGAAAACCCCCTGCCAAAGTGCCACTCCGAGGGTTTGGGAACCGTCGATCAAACCAATGAACTCTTTTGGGAACCTGGAGAAATAACTGAGGGATCCGAGGATCAGCATTCTGACGCGGTTTCAGTGTGCTGACAATTTGCCTCGAGTTAACTACATCTTTCTGCTCCATATCTGGAGAAAGTGAAACCTGACGCTGACAGCCCCCATCTTAAATTGAGGGATGGGTCCTATTTAAAAACAAGGGCTCCCTGCTGTTCTCTCTGCACATTGATCATTAATTAACTCACTCACTTTGTTTTTCCTGCTTTGATACTCTGTTTGATCGATTCATTCAATCGCTTCGCTTTTCACTTTTTGAATTACCGCCCGTAAACAATCAAAGCAGCCACTCTTTCCCTACCCTCAACCGAAATGTCTCCAAAGCTCCTCCACCTCGCATTCCTCTCGCTTATGTCGCTGACACCCCATGTCCTCGCATCCAAGGATTCATCAGCATGCTACAACAGCCCCGGAGATTTGACCCTGGCCGAATCCTCTAAGTTCATGTCTCGCGGCATGTGCCAGGCCAAGTGCGAGGAGAACGCCGTCCTCGCCATCCAGGGAACCGACTGCTACTGCGGCAGCAGTCTCCCCCCATCTTCCGCCAAGGCGTCGAACGACAAATGCGACACTCAGTGTCCAGGATATCCAGTTGACTACTGTACGTGTATAATAAACACTGTTACGTTGCATACCAGACAACAACGGTAGACAGCTAACTTGCGAAAACAGGCGGCGGCTCCAAAACCTGGACAGTCATGTATGACACGCAGCTCCTCAAGGAGGACAGCGACGATTCCACTTCGACCTCGCTGACGGTCAATCCGACTCTTGTGGCTACCATCACCAAGGACAGCGCCAATCCCACTGCCACCATCCCTGCTGAGATACTGACGGCACCCTCGGCCACCTTCACGAAGCACCCTGGCGTCGTGCAGGGCGTGTCCTCTGCCGCTGCGTCCTCGTCTGTAGCCGCTTCCGCGTCAAAGTCGGTAGGCGTCTCTTCTGCCTCTGTGTCGGCCTCGTCCAGCACGCCGTCGGCTTCGCCCTCCGGGAGCGCTGGGTCCGGTGCGACTCTGAGTCGCTCGGTGGGGGCCGTTGGGCCGGTTATGGGGGCGATTTTCATCCCATTGGCTATGTCTTGGTTCTAAGCGATACCCGCTCCACGATGCTCCGCCTCTACGAATGAACAGATCTCCCGTCGAATTGTTGTTATGTGAGATAGCTGTGGATTATTACCGCTTATTAAGTGTATGAGGTTACTGGATATACGTGATCTACTTGGGCCAAGGGCTAGTTTGGGTACGAATCTAAGACAGGATGCTGGCGGTGCTGGATCCTGGAAAGTCCTGTTTTAATCGCTGGTCGATTCGATGCTGGACGTCGTTCGCTAAATTTGCGAGGTGGTGTTCTGGGAATCCACCATTCAATCTACAGTCATTCACGGCACATTGTAAAACTAAAAAAACGAATACAAAATAATACAGAGGTTTCTAACCAATAGCCAATAATTAGGATTCAAGGGTATCATAAAGCCAACATCACCCAGAAAGGTAATCCAAGACGCTAACTCAAAAGCAGGCGGATCACAAGGGATGGTGTAGATGGACTATTGTTTCATGGATCTGCCCGTCCTCGCTAAGGTTTTGGTACCTTGATGCCTCTTTTCTCCAGCATGGCATAATCGGTAGCTTTCATAGTTACTGCTTCAAAGTTCTTGGGAAGCGGAAGTTCATCCCTGTATTGAGTGTTAGTGGAAATACCCAAAGGCAAGCCTGTCTGCGTGGAAAAGGCGAGGGCGAAAAGGAAAATTAAGTGACAAACCGGGACATACCTAAGAAAAGCGATTTTAAGATTCCGGGCGCGATCCTTGAGCTGGACTTGATCACGTCCTTGAATCTGAACCTCGCCATCTTCCGCTGCCTGTGCATCGTTCTGGCGCATGATCGTTGCCCATCTACAACCGTGCTCCCCAATTAACCGGATCAGCCGCGCATCTTCGGCTGGCGTCCAGCGCTGTCTGCCCTTGGACTGAGACGGCGTAAATGTTCTATTCGAACCGAAATCGCTCGTCTTGGCCCACCGTCTTGACGGTGACTGTTGAGTCCGGGGTGGAGTTTCAGGCCGCCGGACAACTTCCAATTGACCTTGCGCTTCCCGACTTTGGGCACTCGCTTGCAGGCCCTGCTGTAACTGAGAGGCAGACTCGTCATGGTCCTCCTCCAACCTCTGGCGCTTTCTCCGTTGTAGCTCTGCTTTTTCTTGACGCTTGCGACTAGGGTCAAGCGCACGACCATAGTCCGAAAAGTCATCATTGCTCGCATCCTCGTCTTCAGATCCTTGACGTGCTCGCTTTCTCGAGGCCGGCGAGGCATCACGTCTCCTGGCTGCACTTAGGAGGTCTGCCTCCTGACTTATAGGAGAAACACGTTCCGCATTATCCTGCGGGTCGATGAAAGCCTGGTGTCTATCTAGCCGTGACCGTTGGACTGGCCGTGTAGGACTCTGGGTCTCTTCCACTGCTCGCAATATGTCCTGGCTTGACGGAACAAATGACAATCTGCTCGGTGTACGAGGTCGATGTCCATAAGAAGGCTCCTGATGAGGCTCGCGGGTGAACCTATTGACAACCGGAGGGCTGTGCGATCTTTCAAGTCCAGCACCGACATGGTCGCCGATGTTCAGCTGAGAATCATCGACACGGACATAATGGTCCTCAGGTAGCAAAGTCGGAGAACCTTCCGGAGACGCAGCTATCTCGTCTGGCTCTCCCTGCGTCGTCCGGATCGACTGCGATGGTGCGGGCAGAGTCTGACGATGACGGACATCCGAAGTAGACTGCGTGCTCTCGCCGTCCATGACTTGGGCAACAACGTCTGTCTGCCTCCGGGTTTCAGAAGCCTCGCGAGAAAAGCGACGGCGCTGCTGCCTCTGCATAAGGCGCTGAATCGACACGGGATTGAGGAATGCCCTTGGAAGCGGTCAGCAAGAGAGCTTAGCTCAAAAGATAATCGGGTACCAACGGTTTTGACGACTTCCGTCGCTCCCTACTTTCTGCGGTTGACACTGGGGCCCTACTTTCTGCGGTTGACACTGGGGCTCGTTGATCTTCTTTAGGAGCGCCCCGCATCTGCTCTTCAGCCCGAGATGGAGGTGATGCTTGCTGTCCATCATCAGTAGCAGCTGGCACTTGTGCTCTTTTTTCAACTGCGGGAGTGGCACTAGGACGGGGAGTGGCCGTTGCACTCTCTATGCGGCCTTGGTCAGCGAAAAACTCCTTGTGCACTGTCTGTACGCTTTGCTGCCCTTGCAGTCCTTGAGCAATTTCTTGAATGCGCTTTCGTAACCATTGAACAGCCCGCAGGACAAATTTTTGCCAGCGGTAAGCGCTTTTCAACTCTTTAATATCAAAAGAGTTATCTCCGGCGTCTGATATGAGAACAAGAATCTCGTTATACCGGTCACAAACTGCATCTCTGTACTGCTCGGGGAAATTTAATCTACCGATGTTGAGACCACGCAGCGGAGCGACACTGCTGTCGAAAGCATCTTCATCAAAAGCATCAACGTCGAAAAAATGTTGCCTAATAGCAGCCTCGGGAAGAAAATCAAGCTTATACTGATCCTCTTCCAGATTCTGTATCAGAGCTTGCGTGCGGAGTTCCATAGCAAGGTCGAAAGTATCTTTGCGAAGGGAGCTCACGCCGATAGCTCTCTCATCC